AAAATGCACCGCGGCCCCCTCCGTCCCGCCCCCCTCCAAAAAAAAAAAAAAATTTATATATATATATATAATATACAGTACTATGAAAATATCCATGGAAACAAATGGGGTGGCTGGCAAAGATGCTTAACAAAAAAGCCCAAAATAAAATAAATTCCCAACTCTTCCCCAAACTGACGCTTGCCTTCCCCACTAGTCCTCCAAGACCACAATCTCCACGTTATGGACCTGGTGCTGATGGTCCTCCACATCTCCCACCACTTTCTCCTCAGTCCTCAGCTCCGTCTCCAGGATCACAGCTTTGCCCTCCGACTCGTCCGTGTCCGCCTCGGGATCCGGCGCCGGGTCGATCTCTATGATGGTCTGCCCGTCGTCCGAGGTGCCTTCCACGGCTTGGATGGTGGAAGTGAGGCCGGACTCCATGGCCACCAGTTCCACGGGGTTGACCACGGCCGCCACGTTCGCCAGGGCACCGCTGTCCTGCATGGCCGCCGAGCTCAGCAGCGCCAGGCTGGAGGACGGGTGGAGGGTGACCGTGTCGGAGGAGCTGGTCTTGGAGGAGGACACCACGGTGGCGTATCGGAAGAGCTGGGAGCCAGACGGCAAGGTATGAACAGTCACCGGGCTGGAGCCTTGGCTGATGGTTGCCACCGGGATGTTGCCCACGGAGAACTGTTGTCCGACGGGCGCGATAGCGATGGGCGAGATGACCGTGAACTGAGGCTGCTGGATGGGGGTGGAGGGGCTGAGGACGGTGGCAGAGGCTGGGCGCTGCAGGCGGGGTCTCTTGGGGGGCTTGGGAGCGCTGACGGGCATCAGCACCACGTTCTGGATGGTTTGGGACTTCGCCTTCTGGTCCTTGGCAAGTTTCTTCTGCTCTTCCAGCTGCCGCTCCAGGTCTGCAAAGAGAAGGGCTAAGCAGCGCCGTGGGCTAGGGCCAACACGCTGCAGGGGCTCCTGGGGACTCAAGGGCTCCACAAACAGCCATTACATCCCGTATTTGCGACAGGAGGTCTCCTAACCACCCAGTCGAGCGTGATCTTCGCATTTCACTCAAGATCAAACTGCACGGAAGGAAAAGGCCAGATTCTCCTGCCACCCACACGGACCTGGTCAATGTTCTGCGCCCGCTCAGCCTGCTTCGGCCGGCTGTCAGCGCCCGGACGAGGAACAGGCAATGCTCTGTACCGGTTGGCTACCCCTACCGATGAGAAGACGGGCGCTTCGGCTCCCCAAGCTAGACCCCCCTACGAGGGAGAGCGGACAAGCCCCTCCAGGCAGTAGGAACTGCTTCCTGAGCTTGGCTGGGTCCCCTCCCCAGGAGCCAAGCACCTGTACTGGGGACAGGGAGCAGGACCGCCTGGGTCAACGAAACATCTCCCCCAACCCTCGTCTGTGCGAACACTGGAAGTCAGAAGTAGCACAGTAATCTCATTTATCCAGGGCAGTAGGGGACTAGGACGTGCCAGGTAAGAACAGGTCCTACAGGACACGGCGAGGAGGGAGACACATCCAGCAAGCGGCTCTGGGGAATTCAGGTCAGGTTATTGGCTTCAGCTCGGGGGAAGCCGCGCGAGACACCTGATAGCTCCGCGCCAAGACAAGCGGACAACTCAGCACTCCGTACACAGAGAAGCTTATTAGCTTGGGCACAGCTCAGATGACTACCGCACAGCCCTCAGCTAGCAAGCACCTACTTCCTAATGCCGACTGAGTCGGGCTCGCACCCCCAGCACCGCAGCAAAGGGCACAGACTTCGGGCTGTCGAATGCCCCAAGCGACTGCTCGCTGCGAGGCAAGGGAGAGGGGAAATTCCACTCACGCCCTAGGATGGAAAGGGACTGGGATGCATTTGTTTTGGGGCAGCGTGTATTGAACAATAACCCAAATACGGTTCATACGTTGGAGGAAAGTCGCATCAGCTCCCAAGAGCAGCAACGGGATGAGAAGCCTTACTAGGCGCTGACTGTACCTGCCAGGGTGTAAAGAAATTGTTCCTCTCCTTGCTCTGTCTGGTTTTTCCTGTTGTCCAGAACCTTCTTGACTGTGTCCATTAGGCCAAATGTGTGGGCGACGTTGTTCAAGACTGCAGCATCTGCAAGGAAAGTGCGTGGGGACGAGTGCCTAGTCCCACAGGTGGGACTCAGTCAGGTGCTCAAAAGACGCTCCTATTACACCAAAAATTTCCTGCTGCTTTTTGTAAAGCTCCCTCTGCTCTTTCACGAGGGCTGGCTGACAAGGGCAGACCCAGCTCCCTCATCCTCCTGACATCCAAGGACTAAACAATCCCATTCGCGTGATAAAGAAAATGAAACAGAGATGTGTCACCCAAGCAGCACAAAATTGCTGCAAATGAAAGCATGATTTGCAATCAGAGAGATACAAACGAGCTCTCCACCTACAAATCATCACCCCATGCTGCTGACAGTGTCATTAACATGCCAGCTCCACTGAAAGCTGTGCAAAATTTCTGTTATAATCCACTGACTTCAATCACTTACAGCTTCCAAAAGCTGCCACCTACCAGACACAAAGATCCGCCAGCCCAAAGCTAAATTAGAAAATAATTTAAAAAAATATCCTGGGTAAAATGAAGTTTGTGGCTACATGGACGTTCTCTCAGCAAGAACATCAACAAGAGGTGCTCTCAAACCCTGTGCTCACAGGGGCATGTGCTGAACTGGATTAGGGAACTGATCCAAGTTAAAAATAACCCTAAAGAGGGGAGGGGAGTTATTTTTAACCCAGATCAGTTCCCTCATCTGCTTCAGCCCCAAAAACAGGTTTTCTGGCACAAGCGAAGACAGAACGAGAAGCGAGGGGGCAGGACCTGTTCAAGCCCGCACTGTCACGGAGAAAAGCGTTTGAGTAACTCTGGTCCGAGAAGTGAATCTGGGCAGGCCTTCACGAGGGCCGGGAGCCGAGGACAGTCGCCCGATGGTCTCAGGAAGCTGCCAGGGCCATTTTGCTCAGGGAAGGGGGTGGCCCGTTGTGTCCCTGTGCCCGGCAGTGGGGCAAGCGAATGGACTTCAGAGTTGGGCAGGCTGACACCACGCCCAGGCTCGGCTCCCACGGCCCAGCTAACGAGCGGGAACTCGCTCGCCGCCCTGGCTCAACAGCTTTAAATGGTGGGATGGACCCCTGCCACTTTTTTGGGGTTTTTTTTTTTGCTTCTCAGCCAGAGCAGCAAAGTGATCCAACTTGCTGCTTGCTACGTACTAGTGTGGACACAAGGGAGGATTGAGCTTGTGTGGCTGAGACACAGCATCTTTTGCCGAGTTTTTTTTTTTGCCTGCAGCTGCCCTTTTGAGCATCCTTCCCCACCGCAGAGCCAGAGGCTGTGCCTCACAACCTACCCGTCATCTGGAAGGGAGACTGACCCAACCTCTGCTGGACGCCTCGTAGGACTTCTTCTATCTCCTTCTGGATGTTGCACACGACCTCTTCCATCAGCCCCACATCAGCTATTCCTTTCCAGAACATCAGCGTGTCCTCTGGCGCAAGGAGAGGGGAAAAAGAAGTCAACGTGTACAAGCACTTGGCATTTTTCCCCACAAGGCTACCGTAAACCTTTCGGGCAAGAGTAACTTTGCAAGGCGACTTCTAATTTGGCCATTGGGGTGGAGGACGCGCAAAAAAAAACCCCAAACCCCAAAGAAGCAAAAATCAGTAACGTGTTTTCAAGCAGCACCATGACTTCCAAGGCCACATTTCACTGCCTCTGTTCATCTTCGCAAGATGCAGAGCTTAAAAATCTTTGAGGAAGTTCCGCCTAAGCTTCCGTACTGATCCGAAGAGGGAAGGCAAGGCACCGCCGCGAGAGAGACACAGCCAAGAGAGCTGACGGGGTACTAACAAGACACTGCTCACTGCCGGTTTCAGTCTAGCTCCAGGCTGGCAGACGTTTACGTCCTTCGGATGAACAAAATAAGCCCCTCACTGTAACTAGTAGCAACTGATCTGGGGGATCACCCATCAGCCACAAGGCCAGGGCTGAAGTCTCACTCTGCCTGCTGCGGTGAGGAGCGCCGTTCGGCAGGGCCCCGGCACGCCTGGGAAATGCTGGGATAGCCAAGGGGCTGGGGGACGGCTCTGTCATTGCCTAAACTCTCCTTATTTTCGGGATTTCAGTCTCCGGAACGTAACAGGTGAGGAGAAGGGGGGGAAAACACCCAACAAGCAGCCTGAGCTTACCCGAGATCTCATCCGTGTCCTTTTTCATGCCTTCCTCAGTGGCCATGGTGACGGCAGCCGTCAGAGCCGAGTTCCACTCGATCCCCTCCTCCATGCTCTCCTCCGACAGCGCGATCTGGGTGATGCTCCCTGCCAGAGAGGCAACGTCAGCTCTCTCTGCGGCACCCGGAGTGCCAGCCCTGAATCCCTGCTTTGCTTTCCACCCCCCTCACCCCTCCCAGGCTCTTTTTCACTCTCGTGGTCAAGTCGTTTGTGCCTGGCTTCTTTCAACCAAATTAGCTACAAGCAAATGTTGCTGCTTCTCATTGGAACTGTGATTGTGAAAGGCTCTGGGGCTTTCTGGAGGGAAAACCACGTGCCCTCCAGAAAGCAAACTGGAGTCCTGGCATAAAAGGAGCGGGAAAGGCTCAGAATAAAGAAGGGAACAAATAAGCCGCAGCTCAGCCACCCTTCTCCCCTTCTTGCATCGTCAACAGGGAGCTCCGCGCCCTAGAGATGCTCTAATCCTTCAGGAAATGACAGGGTCAGGGTCCAAGCCGGTTTATAGAAGGGAAACGGATCTGACTCAATCCTAAGTTTCTGGATCAAATCTGGGACTAAGCCAACGTGCGGCCACCGTAAGGTTTTCCCATGTGGCCAGGGTGCTTTCCAGGAGATTCTCCTCAGCCTATGGACAACTCTGCCATCTCACCCACCCAGGGCCTCAGAGAAATGTAACCTGCCCGCCTGAACGATACGGTACGGTTGGGAGCAGTCTTCTCCCTTAACCTCAGCAAAGAGATCGCTTTCTGCTCCGAAGCACGGGATTCGCTGAGAACTTGCAGTTGGAATGACAATCAACGTGCAGCCATCATAGCCCGTTCGTGGATGTCCAGGTGATGCGGAGCAGGCTGCTCCGGAGGAGGTCAGCGTGCCTAGATTCATTCCTGAGCATCGGCACATCTCGTGCCTTTGTAATAGACCCTCAAATAAGGA